TGAAAAGGTAGTTCAGTGCGTTCTTGTAATATACACTATCTCTGGTGAATGTGATTATTGTTTTGTCATGTATTGTATTTGTTTGTTTTTTTCTTTCCATGCAGATTGTGGAGACAGACATGTCTGAAAACTTTATATTATGCGTAAGAGGCAAAGGCAGACAACTCCTGCAGGAGGTGTTTCTTAGAGAGGACAAGAGTCTACAGGGTATTAACATAATAATATTAAATGTGATTTTATCGTATTACCAAAATAAAGGGGAAACTATAAATTCTGTAAATGCTTTACCTTGTAGTTTTTGTTTTAGATGACCACTTGAAGAACACCTTGTCCATTCTGATGATAACTTTCAATACTCTCACTGTAACTGTTGATGGACAGGATCTGAAGCTGTTATATCATGGTAATCAATAATGACATTTTTTTGCCCCACCAAGTATATGGCCAGAGCATATCATGTTTGTCATGTCCATCTCCCCTCCTTCCATCTTTTTTTTCTGTCCTGCCTTGAACCTCTGTATTTATAGCTGCATTTCAAAGCAACACTTCAACTGATGTTTTGTAAAATTCATACATTGATATACTGTATGTAAACGTAAAAAAGCAGGCTTCATATTTCAGCAGCTTTGGCACTGACACTGATGAGCTAATTCATCAATACTGCCAAGAAATCATATAAAACTACATGTACTATATTATACATTGTGGAAGTGTGTAGTGCTATAGATATTCAAGTGAGTAATGTAACCCATGAACTCTAGTTCATAGTTTTAAAAGTTCTTTTCTTTTTAAAATTTAAAAAGTAGAGATTTTGTTATTGCAGTGTCTAAATGGTTGTGTGAGGCCTCAGTAGAGAAGTGTCCTGAGTTGACAGAGATGATCCTGAGACTGGTCATCCACTACATCCAGACTTCAGATTCCCTTCATAGTAGTGGTAAAAAGGATTCACTAATTTGATAAATACTGTACAAGCACAAGTTTTCCTGGGGATAAAATTTTGTTGATTTGTCATCAAAAGTAAGTTTCGTGGGCATTTAATTTCTTTGTTTTGAAAGTAAACCTATTCAATATATAGTCATATAAAATTTTGTGTGGGATTTAATTTCGTTGATAATTGTTAACAATGAAATTAACGAAATTTAGTCCCCCAAGACTATTTGTACTTTTACAGTAATTCGAAGTTTATTCGCTTAAAGGTTAAATTTCAAACTGGAAATATCTCCCATATTTTGTGACTAAATGGCATAATTACAATTAAACTCATTTCTTCTTTAGTTCTGCCAATGATAATGCAAAACATAACCCTGTTGAAGACACTAGAGATATTGACAGTGTCTTGGAATGACAGTGTGTCTGGGTTGTCTCTCTGTATCCTCTCCTACATTATGGAATTTTCTGTTCAAAGTTCACAAGTATGATTGAAATATTGTAAAATGATTTTTTTTTTAATGTAAAATTTTGATATTTCTTTATCACTTGTATCATATAATGTGTACCTTAAGCCCTATTTACACGATCTGATTTGTAAGATGTGACTTGCCACATCTTACAAATCATACCGTGTAAATAGGAAAATCATAAGACAGATATGAAGTCAGATGGAGTCAGATGGAATAGAAACATGCTCTATTCCGTCTGGCAAGTCAGATGGTTTTAACCAATCATTGACAAGGTCAGAGAGGTTGATCTATATAAAGAAGAACTAACATGTGAATTTTTCACGCACTTCTTCTCCAAAGATAATTCAATATCAATTAATCTATTTATTGTAATTAAAATATGGGTGGAAATCCTGAGAGGACATTTTTTATTGGCTGGACAGAAGAGAGAACTGAAATAAACTACAGAACAATCTGAAAGATTAGTCGAACAATATCAAGAAGAAGTAGATTTATTAAAACACAAATGGCTATTAAATTATCATCATCCTTCATTGTGAAATGTAAACAAAAAAAATTTGGAGGGAAATATTAATGAACTTCATGTCTGACAAATCATACCGTGTAAATGAAACACTGGAGTCAGATGTGAAATCACATCTGAAATCACATCTTACAAGTCAGACCGTGTAAATAGGCCTTTATACTTCTGTTTCTCTTTGAAGGCATTATCACAATCAGTAGTGAAGATAACAGTCTCACTGTATCCCCTGGAGAAAAGACTGAGGTCCAGCTCTACCCTTCTACAGCAGGGCTTCCTTCAGTTTATGGCCACTTCTTTCCAGAATAAATTTGTCAGTAACATCATTGAATTTTCAAATGAAGGAAGATATCCCCCAGATTGCAGGTGCCCTCTGATATCTTCAGATATCACATGTCTATTTTGTTATCTTCAGCAATTTATGGTACAGGTACGTCACATGTGTGAACCTAGTATTAGGAGTGATGCCATTAATGTCACTTTATTCATATCAATCAGATTATTTGATATAATTTTAAATTTAAGGAATGTTTGAAGACTAGACAGATTGCCTTTCACTGTCTACAAGCATTAGTGACTTATCTTTCCAGTGTTGATCTTCCATTGTGTAAGTTCATACCATAACTCTTATTTTTTGTGAGTATTAATTAATATAAGGAAATTACTTTTAGACGTCAAATTATGAGAACAATAATTTGTGAGTGGAGGGTTGATCAGAAGTTGTTACAATGATTTCAGCACTATAAAAAATAAAAGCAAATATTTTATTTTTGCAGTAATTCATTCCTCACATTTATTTAGGAATCTACAGTATATAGATCAGCAAATTGTTATTCTAATCACATGGTATTGATGAAAACTCAAAAAGGTTCTTGTGTACAATTTGACATTCACATTAAATTTGATTTCACTTATATAGATGAGGAACTGCTCACTCACCCCTGGAACACTGCCATGTTGGAAGTCATGGTCCAGATGACAGATGATGACACAGAAGCCATAGCAACAACCTTTGACATGTTACAGTTTGTGAGTCACAAAAAGACAGAACAATTTTATATAAATGTTTTACATCAAGAAATTATTTAGTTATTTTAAGGTTACATTATACAATTATTGCTGTGTTTTGAGGTCAATACAATGATTTAGCCATCTGAGGAGTACAATATTCACCGAGCCCGGAGGGCGAGGTGAATATTGTACTTCGAAGATGGCTAAATCATTGTATTGACCGAAAAAAACAGCAATAATTGTTTTATTATATGATTCACTAGTAAAATGATCAAACCTATTACTTGTTTGCATTTAATTAAGTCCTATCCAAATACAATTAAGAGAGAAGCAGAATTAAAATGTTAATCAACCTTACAGGTCGTATTTATTTTTTTTTTTAAGTTTTTTTAATCAATTTTAGTTGCCATGAAAAAAAATTATGTCAGTCTAGGATAGATTTTTAAAGAAAGGAGTATTATCAGGGAAAACTGACTGCCAAAAAGTAAAAATTGTTGTTCAGTAAAAGTGTTGGAGGAGTGTCCCTGCATCCCCTCTTATCACCCTAAACCGAAAATATATATTCGCTTATGTTTTCTTCACATGAAAAAAAAGTTATAGTAGTTTAAATAGCTTTCCAAATCAATTTGTATCAATTTGGAATTTCCCGATCTATTTTTAGATCAATGTAGAGGAAATAAATCCTTGTTTTGACCTGGAACGTCACGTGCAGGTCAATACAACGTAGTATTTTTCTAACATAGTTCGATCTCAGCCAATCAGAAAGCTGGAAATTATTCAATCATATGATAATTTAGATGATATGCTGCTTGCAAGACACATTCTGATTTCAGATTTTGTGTGAAAAAATTGGAAACAGGATAGTGATGGAATCATTTGAGTTGATTGAGATTGTTTCTCAGTTCCTTGGAGAGCAAAAAGCAAATACACTTGTAGAAGCTCTGAAGAACCAATGTTTAGATCTCATTGAAAAGGTAAACATGTAAATAAAGTAAAATATTAACTTCAGCCCAGTCTTGGAGCATAACATTAGCAAAGTTATGAACTGCAAGCCATGCCTATTGAATAACCACCATAAGTTTTATTTTTAGTTCATCTGAGTAAAGGCTCAAGTAAACTTTTCTGATAAATTTTTTTCTGTTGCCTGAAGCCATCATTGTTACCATTTACTTTTCACATGTTCATCTTCTCCAGAACCAATGGTCAAGTTCACCTTGTTCAATGCAAAAATACACATGAGCAAAACATCTTAAGAACCTCTGGGCCAGGAAATTTCTGTAAAGTTTTTCAAAGCATGACTCAATCTCTTGGGTAGAGGGTGCACAATGGACGATCGAGTTTTATATAGGATTGTACGTGGGAAAATCTGACCCCCAAGATCACTTGACCAAGTGGTCTAGAATTTTCAAATATTGCAAATACTGTTGCGCATTTCAACTTTTTATTCTGAGCCTCGCCCTAACACCAGAATTTCCATCCAAGGGGCCATAAAATTTACAGTTTGGAAAAGGCACCATTACTCGTCAAGTATCTTTGCAAAATAACAAGGGGCAGAGAAGTTATCAAAGCATTAATACATTTTCAGCACATAATTAACAGCCTCACCCTACCATCAAAACTCCTGACCTTGGGACCTTGAATTTCACAATTTGAAGGAATCGTTGCTTGTTTTAATCTTTCCAACAGTTGACTGCTTGATATGTCAAGTAGTGAAAAAAGATTTTTGAATATTGCACCAATTTTGATCATTTGCCCCACCCCAGGGGGAGGGGACAATAAAATTAAAACTTTCTTGTTGTTTTTTTTTTTGTAGATCTACGAAATTGGTTGAACGTGATTTAGTTATTTATGAGAAGCTAAAAATACTCTGTTTTTAACAGATGCACAATGAACTATGACAAAGGTAAACAGTAATAGTTATTTTTCCTTACTATTACAGTTTCTGAAAGTGGTTCCTGTCCAATACCAGCAACAGATCATTGCCACCTTTGAGTCTAAGAATGAACCAGAGAGATGAGAAATTTAACCATCATATATGTTTGCATTGTACTACAAAATAAACAACTGCAAACTTTTGAACTATTTTATTATTTTGGGCTTTTATATTAGATTTATTCTTCCCTAAAAAAAATTACATGACACAGATTGCATTTGTCAAATACAGTAAACTTCAATATTTACATAAGAGATCTCCACCAATCATAAAAGCAAATGGAATATCAACAATGAAGGGTATTCATTTTACATGAAAAAGCACCAGAGACATACACCATTTAATAATCTCTCACACACACTGGTTTATACAGCATGAAGATCAACCATCTATCAGTAGCACATAGCTACCTTAATGCAATCTTGCATTTGGTCTGTAAACCCAATAAGTCATGTTTTAAAACTAGAACATATTTTTAAAAACCTGCAAAATATTTGTTACACTAAAGAATTTTAAATAAATTTTAAAAAGAATGAGATATGGTATTAATTGTGTATCTGTAATTGCACAAAGCAAGTTTTTGAAAGTGCAGTACTTCAAAATAAAGGTGTTCAATACACGAAAGATAAATTACTTCACATATACATACATTTACATGAATTTTTTTGCACTTGGATAAATTAACACAATAAATATAGCAACATACATAATATGTCATAGTCATGTTTTTATGCACAGTGGAGAGCAGTAGTATAAGCCTAAGCAAGTTCCCTTTAACCTAGATTTGAGGGATCCAGAAACACTTAAGACTACCAATCTGATACTCTAGCTGGAACAACCTTTGCTCCCGCATTCATATTTGCAACCTTGATAGATGACTACTAAACTACATAAAATTTCTATTTGTTGAAAGACAAATCACATCAACAAAATCTGTTACTTAATTTTTCAATCCAGCACATGCTTTGTAAGCTCAAATATACATGTACATGATAAATACACATGTAGAAACATAAGTTGATATTTTTATAATGTTTAGGAATACACCTGTCTGTTTATACCATCACAGTTTGACTACTAGGTAACTGTTTTACAGTACACGACCTTTGACCTTTGACACAGGAAGTAAGCAGTCAAATACACCCCTATATTTACTCCTAATATTAAATGGTATCACATCAACACAACACATTTTGGCTGAAGGTCCCCTCTAGACAAACATCAACTCTTGATTTGTTTTTGTAAATGCTGTAGGAACTCATACAGAGACATGGAGGACTCCGATCGGTCTTCCACCATCTTTTCAAAGAACTCCAGTCGTCTCTTACTGTCCTCTCTGAGAATTAAAACAAAATAAACATAATTTTGACTCTGACAAAGGCAATAAGAGGAAGAAACGTGTACTGTCTACTAGAAATATGAAATGTAAGCTAAAATCTGATATACTACTGGGCTTAGGTAGTGATGGATTGTAAAACTATCTGTTGAAGACTGATGGCTAGATCTGTATAGACCCAAAAGGCCAAAACTTCTCATATAATCAGTATAGAATTTACCAGCCGAAGCATTTTTGAGCCAGTAATCGATCTGTTCCAATTTTGAATCATAAAATGTAGGCATACATGAACAAGAAACTTGCACTACAAATGTTGATACTGTTATAAAATGCATTAGATTAGTCTGTTTTCAGAATGCAGGGAATTCTGTTCTCAATACAGAAAACTACTTTCAATTTACATGTACATGATCAATGGTCATTGACAGATTTAAAGAGCTCAAATTGCAATGCTAAAATTCAATTCTAGCACAAGTACTCATTCCAGTAACACTGACTCCAAATAAATAAGCTAGCTAAGGATACGCATATGGGCATACCTAGCACTTTATCAATAAGTATTGGTAGGAATATGCAATAACCATGCTTCAGAGGAATTGTGTCGTTGGAATCAAATCAATGTGTTTACCTTATAACATAGAAGCACGATCCTCCAGGTCTGTTGTCCAGTAAATCCGTGATGAAGTTTCTCATCAGCTCTGATCTCTCATTGTCCAGTTCTGGCAGGTCAATCTGTCAATCAAAAGAGTTACATGAGTATTCACACAAAACTAATCAGAACATCTAGCTACCAACTCTCAGTGCTTTTATTATACTGAAAGCTTATGGTTATGGTTTACTTACCAAGCCTTCAGGAATGGACATAAAGTTGGGTGCGTCCAACACCTCCTGTATAAATGTTTGTGGTGCTCCACTGCCAACATACAGGTAAATACTGTCCAGGGTGTCCATCACGTAAACTCCTGTACGGTCAATGTTAGCAGAGGACAAGTGAAGTAATGGTGGCTTTGGCACAAGTAAATCTCCTTTCTTTTCTGTATTCTATCAATAGCAAAGAGAAAAGAAAGACCTGACAAGTACAGTGTATACCTTGAATTGATTTGTTTTTAATTTTTGAAGTCCATGTAAAGTTTTGGTTTTTGACTTGAAACTACCAAAAAATAAAGGTTATTGGTACATGTATTATTTACACATGGATAAGGTTCTAAACCAGACTTACATAGTTTTCGATGCTATGGACTGGGTATAGACCTGGATACAGCATCTTCAGAAGCTGTCCGACTGGCAGGCTCTTACACTGCTGCATGGCAAATACACGCTCATCTAAGGGTGTGTTCAGGCCAACACGGAAAGCCTTCTGTAAAAGTTAATATTAGCAAACTAAGTGTATGCAACACCAGGTTATTGACTTGGAATTTATTTATAAAATTTAAAATTATGCATTGCCAAATTTCTATAACCACTTTGTATCTATAAAAAATTGGTCTATTATTTGGTTAATTATTTTGAAAATGTTTTTAATGAAAATCAGAGATTTCACGCTTTGTTCAGAGTTGCCCTCTGGGTATTTTCTTTAAAGAAGTGCAAAAACTTTCGTCTATATTATAACATAACACACACAGAGAGAGATGTACTTCTATGTAAAAGAAAGTTTAAATCAACTTACTGATTTTAGAAGAGCCAAAATAAATGCTGGTAACATTCTGAGGGAGTAACAGATAGGTAGACTTCCTATTCTCTGAGCTGGAGGAATAGTGCTCCCAAAGGATGCTAGAGAGTCCATGGCAGCATTGATCAGGGCCTCCCGGGCATCAGTCAAGGAAGAGGTCACACTTCTGTCCACAGCTGTCAAAATATAGAAATAATGTCAACATGTCTAAAATAGGAATCCTACAAAATATTACTCAAAGATGGGGCCATAACATAACATCTGAATTAAAATTTGCAAACAACTAAGAGCATAGGTCCTGCATCACCAAAATAATGTCAATTTGTAAGTATACCCCACAGCAGATTTGTTTTGACAAGATAAGATAAAATCTTGCACATGTAGAACAGTAAGGTATATTTCTCTTAGCACTTGTGGTAATCTGATAATTACATTTTTAATTTCGAAAAAGTTAATCTCTTAGTTCTTACCCATTTTGGCCAGAAGTCCTACTATAGCCTGCTGATCGGCCCCGGCGTAGATTTCAGACAGCTGATTTGTCACTGGTAAACAAAGTGTGTGGACTCGTATTCTACGCTCCCCTATAGAGGAAGATAATACATTGTATATCTAATTCATTAACATTAGATATTTCATTATTGTTACACTCATATCAAGGATAACTTAAACATTCATCTCTACTGAGTTAACTCGTGTAGTCCAGGTAACACTGATCCTGTTGATCTTAATCCTGTTTGGACTACCCCCTAATGTGTCCCAAAATACATTGGATTCTAAATTTAAATTGCACTTCATTAATATATAACATCAAAATGCATGACTTTCAACACTTCAAACAACCAATCCTAATGAGAAATTAAAGACTGTTTCTTTTTAATGTACTTCAAATATTCACATAAAACCCTAGGTTGCACAAATTTTTAAAAACAAACTCAGATGTTTACCTTTACTTGATGTGTACAGCAAAGCTGCTTGGAAACACACAGTATTTGTATCAACTAAAGAATCTTCTATAGACATCTGCATTCCAAAGCCAGCATCAGGATTAACATTGGGTAATGAGAGTAAGTCGGTGGAACGAACAAAGAAGTTACCATGGAAAGTATGAATACTTAAACCTGTAATACATACATACCGATCTCATATTCATGTCTCATATTGGATTCTAAATTTAAATTGCACTTCATTAATATATAACATCAAAATGCATGACTTTCAACACTTCCAACAACCAATCCTAATGAGAAATTAAAGATTAGGCTTTTGAGATTATAGAGAACTGTTTTTTTTAAATGAGAATGGAACAAGTATATTTGTAAACCTTGTCATTGGTCATCTATACAGAGAAGAAGATTTTCAAAGAAATAATTTATTTGTTATTTTACCCAGAAGCAGAGAAGAAGATTTTCAAAGAAAAAGCATCCCAAGTGTACACCAAGGTTGATATGAAAAAGATGCCAGAGTTTCTCTTAACTTCACATTTCAAGAAAAGTTAGTAACAAAATTGTACCTTTGGTACACCTTGTCATGGTCTCATCACAGCTAAAAAGATGCTAGATTTTTCTCTTATCTTCACATTTCAAGAAAAGTTAGTAACAAAATTGTACCTTTGGTACACCTGATTCTCATCACAGCTTCGAATCCAATCTTCCTCGTCAGATAACGCCTCAGATCTGCCTCAAACTTCTCCATTAATGATGGATTTTTTACAGAATGGAATGATGGGTATTGATAGACACACCCACCTGAATATTTAGATATACAAGCTGAAAAAAAAGAAATGTAAGAAAGTTAATGTCTGTGACATAGATAACCTTTCAGACTTTTTAATTCATGGTCCAATTTTTTATACAAAATTACCTAATTCAAAATCAATACTGTCCTTAATACTTTATTGAGATTTTAATCACAACGGTATAAATCATAAAATGTTTGCAAAATTTCATGAGAAAAACCTTTCATTTACTTACATATTGATGCTATATCAGCATACTGTCCATTTAACATAAATAAATCTACTGCTACTTGTTGGGCTGAGCAATCCAGAGCCAATTTCTTGTAAAAATCTGTTGCTGGACCAAGATTTGTTACATTCTGAAATTTAATTAACATAAAGCATATCCGACGGCATATAAAAAATTAATGACATAAAATATTTTAAACATAACAAAATTCAGCATTGACAACACTATCATGTTTTAGCAGTGTCAACTTTAAGTCCTACAGAATTTCTACCAGCTGGATTGCACTAGGAGGTATAAGACTCACCTTGCCCGATCTCAGGCTGGGGTCCTCTCTGGACTGTAGAGACCCCGGTCCAGCGGTGGGGAGCACTGTCTGCATGACCGTGACCCGACCCCCAACAGGACTCTACAAAGTCAAGTAAATCAGGTAATGGCAACATATTCATGGGATGGTATATAGAATAACAAGTTTACCACGAAAAATATTTGAACTTGTTTGCCGTAAATCATTTCCAGTGTGATCCATGTAACATAATTTGCCTATGACTTCAAATGCCATCTAAATTGTAACACTGAATGCTTACCACTAGTTTGTGTGCAGCCTGGAGTGCTGCTCCTAAAGCACTTCCTGTCTCTAGATTTTCTTCAAAGAGACCAGGCATCTGACTCAGTAAATCCACTACCAGGTCCTTGCACTCATTTAAATTGACTAGAAGATTATCAGGACAAGGCAGGAAAATGTCTACAAAAAAAGTCAAGGGAAGATCATCAGTATACATTTACTTGAATTTCATTACAATATATTAAACAATAACTAGATTTTTACACTCACAAACACATATAAAACATTTACCATCAATATCTGACACCGTTAACATCTGTGGCTGTGACAGTCCCTCTGCGAGGTTAAAAAAGTGTAATGCCCTATCATACGCAATAAAACCAATCTGGGTCCTAGAATCTCTTGGTAACTTGTCTATTTCTTCCAGCAACAGTTGGCAGAAAATGCTTAAGTACCCTGTAAAATCAATACATCCAAATTTTGAAAAATATTTCCTTGAAGAGGTTTATCTTACATTGGTTTTATAGTTTGCAGTCAAGTATTTGTAGCAATTTATAGCATACACAAACATACCAGTTTCTATAGCATTAAAAGAGACATCCAGTAGAAATAGATATAATGCTGGCTGGGGAGGGCGCAGCTGAAAGAGAGAGGTAAAGTGCAAACATTTGTATTAATTTTATAAAAGAATAAGAAATTGGCTGCATTTCTCAGTTGCTCTCCCAATGAGCATCAAATGTAAATGAACTTTAATGAAAAAATCTGATGGATACATGTATATTCAAAATTGTATTAGCTAGGTATCCAAATGTGTACTTCACTCAAAAAATATTTACATGAAAATAATTTTTTAGAGGAAAAATTTAGCAAGTTTTAGTTTAAATCAGAAGCTGTTTCACTTAATGTATACTTCTTCTTTTCCAGACATTTAATACTGACATGTGATATATTTCTGTGTATAAGAGAAATATTTACCATGTAATCTGATGGTGCAATGAATTCTATAGTAGATGACTTGATCTCAGGTCTTCTTTGGGGCTCCCCATAGGTTTTACTGACAGGGTCATAGGAAAATTCATCTGGCACTGTAACCAAGCAGAAATTCTTGAGAATAAGGAATCTTTGAAATTTATATTTACGACAAAACATGCAAGGATGTTATCATTTCGTAAGGTATAATTAAACATTTGGATACTTTCTAAACACTACTACCACACAAAGTCTTGAGCCCTGGTTTTATTTAACATTTTCTCAATAAACAAGTGGATTACCATTAGTAGAATTCACTCATTTTTATACATGTTACTTTTATATAAAATTGCAAAATCAGAAAATAATCCTTACAAAACATCTGGTTATTAAAACTGCTATAAGATGAACTGCCTTTTTGGTGCCAGCCCTTTGCATGATGCAGTTTGGATTTTAGGAAGCAGCAGCAAATGAAGACTGATGGCTTATTAGACGCGATGCTACTTACATTCATTAACTCTGTAGCAGAGGTTGCATTTCCATCGCCGAGAATCCACAAAGAAAACAAATGGGTTGATATACGTCCTACAGGATCGACAACGCACTATCACACTGGACTGTATCACGGGAAGTTGCTGAAACAAACAAAATGTTTAATTTAACAGGCTGTAACAATACATCCAGCATCAGAACAGCATAGACTACCAAATTAATTTTGCAAAAACTTCATCTCTCTGAAATTCAAGATTTTCTTGTGAGATAAAGGCATATAATGGATTGAAAGTACAAAGCAGGCAGAAATGTGAGCTGGGGTCAATATCATATGAGAAATCTATTTTTATCACAACAATTATGTAAAAAACTAGGACTAAAGAATTTTATAATAATATATAAACAAATATTTTTTTCCTCATATACATGAGAATCATTATCTATAAATACATACTGTATACAGTGTTATTTTCGCCCCGTGTTATTTTCGCCCTTTCAAATTTGCAAACAATAAGGCCCCTGTTTTAAATTCGCCCATTCACAGTCTCCTTAAAGAAATTATACTGCACAAGTAGGGCAAAAGGGGCAAAAATAAAACGGGGGCGAAATTTTCCCTGTATACAGTATTACAATGTGGCATTTATCTTTCTATTGCATTTCAAAAAAGTCTCACCTTTCCATTAGACCATTACAGAAAAATAAATACTTAGTACCTAGCGATAAGCCAATAAAGCCATAACCCAGTTAGGAATGGAAAATCCAAATTCTGCTGTTCCTATTTTTAAGAACAGTTTTGGATTTTCTGCTGATTATATACACCAAAGGAAATGCATGCATTTTAGCAAACTGGGTATTTCATGTACAAAGATAAACAAAATCATTACCTCATCTTCATTCTGAAGGGGTAGAGGGCAACCAAGATTTAATTGATAATAAAGCTCTATATATATAAGCATAAATTATACATGTAAAACATAAGCCTGAAAATTTATGCAATGCTTGTCGTACTTACTGACAAATCTTTAAATGGGTGAATCAGAATTCCTAACGGCAGCCTCGCTTTGTTCAGTAAATTTGAAGTCTGAGGTATAGCAGTTAATGTACATCGGAAAACACTGAAATAAACAAGTTATATCTGAATATAAATAAATCTGTAGAAATTACAATCATCAGGGGTAGACAAATAGAATTTTGCAGTACTTGCCTTAGGACAGGTTACCATCGTAAAACTATCTGTCCTACCACAAAATATGCTTGTCCCACCTTTTTCTTAAATTACACAGAATTGAACCATTGATATTAAATTATTGAGTGAGACACCTAAACACTGCACAAAGACCACCCTAGATCTAAGATCATGAAATTCTTCCATTAATGAATTTAGAGAAAAATGTTTCAATTTTAATTAAGGAGTATTCTTCCTCAATATTCTGCAATAAGATACACCTCTTTTTTTAAATTAATGTTGTATTTATTTAATTAAAAAAGGTGAAGATATCGGACAGTGATAATTCTCATAAAACCTACAAACAACACGAATCTGTGAACAGAACACTGCTGCATGTCGATTAAGAGATAGATTGACAGGGAACAGCAATCAACAACAATTTTAATACCACCAGTATCTGCATTCACAGTATAAATTTAATATTTTTGACAATAAATGTCTAAATTCCCATACAACGTTTTTGACAACATCGATAACTCCGTGCTTTATGACATCTGCATATCTTAACAACACGTCAATGGGTAAATTCTAGAGGAGTTCCGACTATTCGATGTACGTATGTACAGCTGATGCAGTGGTCAACAGCAGTAAAAACAGGTGCTTTGCTGTGATTCATGATTCTTTAAAGCAATAACACAAAAGATATTTGAGTACTGTACATAATTCTTATTTGTTATTTGGAAAAGCACTTGTCCGCGGGCAGTCACCTGTTATCAAATTACTTGCCCACCAACCAAAAATGGTTATCCAAGGCGTCAGGCAATGCTATTTGTCTAGCCCTGATCATATGATCCTTTCTTTTATTAAGTTTAAGAAAAACAAACAAAACATTTATGATATTTGATAATTATTAAATATTGATGCCAATTACTTACTCTGCTTGACAATTGACCTTTTTGTACTCATTATTTAATCTTGGTTTCACTACTTCTAGTCCCTCTGGTGGAAGCAGGTTTTTCTCGTTCAATAAGTTTACTACTCTATCCTGAGAAGATAAAAATTAATGTCTTACTCTAAAATAACAACTTCTTGATTTCAAATATTAAATATCCATTCAATAAACTTGCATGTAACAGGCCTTAAAGTTCCTACCTGTACTGACATAGAACTAAAGCTGGCACTAAGGTTCCCTGGCTGGGAGGACATAGGGAAGCCGCCGGGGGCTGAGGGGGGCATCACACCTTGTCCTCCCCCCGGCTGGTTTGACCCCTGCTGACCTGGAGAGTAGACCCCAGGTTGTGTGTTTGGCTGATAGCTACCAGGCTGGGAAAACTGGGGAGGGTTTTGGCTCTGTGGTTGCCAAGTTGTTGGAGGTGAAGTAGGCTGTAATGTGAAGACCATGAACAATACAGTCATCAGGATTCAAAATATTTAGATTTTTTAAAAAATGCAGGCTGTAACAAAAGAATAAGTGTTGACATACCATTTGTGGGTACTTAGGTCGAGAGGGAGTACTGCCTATTTGCCCAGATTGCGTCTGAAGAGGAAATCCTGTGGGAGGTTGCTGGGTTGCACCAAAAGATGTTGGTGGTGCACTAGAAGTTATAGGTGCCATTCCAGGTTGCTGATAGAAAGCTCCTGTCATAGGGGGTCCACCTGTTGGTGGCCCAGGTCTTGGCATTGGTGGCATCCCAGGAGACGATGCACTTGTTGGGACTGTGGATACTGGAGCTCTCATTAGTGGAACACCAGTGGGTCCTGATGGGGGACCTTGATTAAGATACATTCTTCCACCTACTGATGATGGGGGGCCACTTACTGGAGGCTGCTGACCACCATAAGATGTAGGAGGAAATGATCCTTGCATTGATGAAGGTGGCACAATCCCTTGAGGTTGCTGGCCGCTAAATGATGTTGGTGGCTGCTGGCCGCTATATGATGTTGGTGGCTGCTGGCCACTAAACGATGTTGGTGGCTGCTGGCCACTATATGATGTTGGTGGCTGCTGGCCACTATATGATATTGGTGGCTGCTGGCCACTAAACGATGTTGGTGGCATATATCCACCCCCAGCTGGAGGGGGTCCTCCCAAAGATGGAGATCCATATGGCTTAGGCTGAGCACTCATAGGGGGTCTTGGTGCATTCATGGGTCTTTGTGCACCTGTAGGTGGTACATTACTTCTGGGGGCCCCCATTCCTTGTTGACCATATCCTGTTTGAGGTGGACCAGGCTGTCTTGGTTGCTGACCACTGTAGGATGTAGGGGTCCCCATTCTTTGGGGAGTTCCTGTATGGGATACTCCTGGTTGTCCCATCATCGGACCTTGAGGTCCAGGTTTGCTTTGGTAAGGATTAGGTGGACCTTGTCCCATTGCAGGATTTGGACTGTGTGTGGAAGGTGGACCTCCGATGGCAGTTGACGGGTTAACTTGTGTGACTGGTGACCCTCTATTTGTGGTTCCTTGACTGAATGCATTACTAACACCAGGAGGGCTTTGAATCTGTTGACCATGTTTATCCTCTCCAGATCCTGGGAAACTCTCTTCTTTAAATAAAATACAGAAAAAATCTTTAATTCTGAAATCACTCAGGTGTTAATTACAAGGAGAAAATATTCATTGTTTTTTAAGCTGTTTGTGTTGTGTGTCAATGATATGCATATCTAACATCAGTGATAATAATGTTCATTTCTTTTATAAAATTTGACGCTACATTGATTCACAGACTGTCCAAGGAAATGTTCTAAAAGGAATGCTTAATACTGAATACTCAATAATAAGCATCAGATTAACATGACCATTTCTGCACTTCTTCCATAAATGAAACAGATGTAATGTATATGTATATATATTGAATAATAAGTGCAAGTAAAATACATAGTGTATTGCTTGTTTTCTTTTTTAATCATGTACAACTTATCTTAAAATAGTAAAAAATTAGAGTATAACAAAATTAATGCTTATATAATATATCTAGATCAATAATAGTTTTATTTCGACTTTTTTTAAAAACTGAAACAACCTGTAACCCCCCCCCCCTTTTCACTTCTCAGCACATCTATAATTTTTGAGTAATAATATCCAAAATCCTACCTGAACCTGACTATGAAGTTGCATGAAAACCAGCTCCATAACCTTTTTAGTCTTATGTTTACACTTGTTTACTAAGAAACTTCAAAGCCTGCTTGTTATGTGTATACATGGATCAAGCTTGTAATACATATTTTATGTAACCTAAGACACAGTTTCTTACTTTCAGTTTTCGTTGGTAAGTCCCCTCCTTCTAATGCCTCGTAAGACTGCGTTTCCAATGGAGACGGGGCTCTGGAGGATTTCCGGGATGTTGGTTCTGTCAATCATTATCACAGAGAGATTATTAATTATCAATCAATATTAACCAAGTATCATGCAAAGTCAGATTATTTATCTCATCAACTTGTGGTAAAATGATTAATCTAAGAACTGAAGAGGAAAATCAAAATTTCTTTGCTATTTATACACTGAAAGCCTCACAGTATATTCTATATGTATGCAAAATTCTGTAAATGCTTATAATTCATCTAATTTAAATTTAAATCATTAAAAACATAAAGACAACATAAAGCTTAAAAAATATTATTATAAACAAAATTGTAAAATCTTTTACATCAACGTGCAGTAAAAGATTTTTTTCACAACATAATATGATCGGGTAAAATGCAGTGTTAAAAATGCTTATGAAACACTATATACATCACAAACAGCTGCAGAGAATAGCATGGGGATAATACACAAAACAAAATACACTTTAACAAAAAGAGGCACATGAATGCAGTTTACAAACACCTAACTGTTAACTAAGCCGATATACCTGAATTGTTAGGGGTTAATCCAGGAGTTAGTGACATGCCCACTTGGTGAGAATATTGGCCTTGTCCATGAAAAGGTACAGGCAATCCTCCCTCTAGAAAAGTCACAATCATTTTTCATACAAAAAAGGGAAAGTTAAAAATGTTATTATTGTGGACTTATAAGCTGATGTGATTTTTCAAAACACAATGAAATGCTGGCAAAATGAAACATGCAAAAAGCTTTAAATTAATGACTTATAAAAAGAAATATTTAAAGCCAATGCTTTTTTTGTGCATGCATTACATAATTATAGTAACAAAACTACAGTTGCATCAACAACAAAATCAACAAATATCTGAACCTGTTGGTGGTGTGTCTGTTCTCTGTTCTGGTAAACCTCCTGGTGGTTGAGCAGAAAAATTTAGGGGAACAGGACTATTTGAATGAGATGAAATCTGGACAGAATTGAAACTGTCCACTGCAGAAGCAGAACTTGAATAAGGCATCCCAGGAACAGGAGCTGAAGAAACCCCTGTGGGAAAACTTCCAGATGATGAAATAGTAGGGTGAGGCATATTTGGAGCCTGCTTCTGAATTGAATTTGGATTTGAAGGTCTATTTAGTGGGCCATTAATAAATCCCTGGGATGGAGCAGACACATTCATCACTGGAGGTTGAAATCTATTTGAAGGTAACCCCACTGGGGGTTGCATTCTCTGCATGGGTGGTTTACTGAGAGGAGGGGTGCCGTGTCCATTCAATGAAGCATTGTATCCCACAGGCGGTGCAGTAGGTAACACATTGCCTGAGGAACTCATGGGAGGCCTATTCATCATCTGTCCTGTAAAGTTTTTGTTCTGCATTCCACCTTAAAAAAAAAATATTTTTTTTACCTCAGAGTCAGAATATTGAACACAAAACATGTTTTTATAATGTAGAACTGCATATAAATGAAACTGAAAAGGTGGGTCACTACAAATAAAGTAACTAAATTCCCAAACTGATGATATTGGAGTCTCTGAAAGAATAAAATATATCTGAATGAAAATAGCCCAGCACTTCTATACTTTAAAATCTGACACAACATCTGCAACGTGTTCTTCCAAACGTCATTCTAAATAATGTCAACATACGCCGGTTAACATCTTACTCGTCCAGGAATAACAAATAAATTTCTTTGTAGGTGTGTATTCAATATGTACTTACCAGGGGGACCAGTGCGTGTTGGTTGTGGGTAAGAATTAAAATCATGTGGTCCATTTGGACTGCTGTTAAAATGAGAATGTTGATCCGCCATATTCCGCACTATTATAAAATATCTTTTGATTTCACCATTTTACAAAGCAAACTATCTTTCGTGTGCTTTACTTTCTCTCAATAGATTCTAAAAATAACATATGTACACAAGGATCTCAATTTTTTACAAGACAAATCTCCTAAACAGAACTTTTCCGTTGTCCCTAGCTGTTTGACGAGTCCATTTTCTGATCCGGAAGTTGCTTTGTGACAGTCATGCGCCCAGAGCTATCTAACGTGGCAAGAAGAATTGTCTCCCTTTGTGAAACTCTTTCGTCTCCATCTAGTAAATTTTTGCTATACATGATATAGGTCTTATGGTAAAGCTACTTCTTTTGAAAAAAAAAATGAGAGAGTTAACTCCAGTTTCCAATTATTTCGCTGAACATTAGACGTCAGACTGGCCTTTCGTCAAAATTATTTAACTTTTCTTCATCTCTATAAATAGTGACAAATCGTTAAAATTGCACCAGGCCTATATTAAAATTTCCAAAATAAACATTTGGGATGTATTCCTTTTCAACCAACCTTTTTTTTTTTAATTTAAAATTATTTTTGTTGGATTCCTATTTACCCCAGTATCCGGGATTACTAAATTGTTAACGCATTTAAATACATTAAATTATTATTAGCAACTAACAGCTGTACATGTGTATATTGCAACATTTTTTTCTTTTCATTTAAAATAAGTCAACGTTTCAAATGCAATGGAACATTCTCATTTAAATTTCATATAAATGTGATATCATAATATATTTACATCCACTGAATATTTTCTTCTTTATTTCTTAAGAAAACCCATTGCGTTCATCACTGCATGAACTACATTAGGCATATCACCTGTACAGATTTCTTGATCAGTGGCCGTTCCATCAATGAAACGTGCAAAGACGTTCGCATCATTAACACAATAATTAATATTTTTAATCCTACTTAAAATGATGATTTAAACAGATATAAATATAAACAATAAAATGTCTTTCTTTGTTTGTTATTACTGGAATGAACGGTCGCAGCTATTGCAGAAAAAATTTACATATTATTAACCCGCTTACGCGGGTTATGTATTTTTTCTGCAACAGCTGCTTCCGTTCATTCCAGTAATAACAAACAAAGAAAGCATTTTATTGTTTAAGTAAAACCCGGTTCAAAATGTTTGCAAAACACTTTCCACTTAAATTACCTTGAAATTGGAAAAAAAATGCATATGATAACAAAGTTTGCGACTTTATCAGTCGCCTTTATCAGATGAGTAGTTTTATTTTATTCACTAGAATTAATACAGGATCTCAGCATCTTTGGTGTCATTACATTCCATCTAACTGTTTTTTTTTTTAATTTCAGTGAACGATATTGCATGCGTATTGCATATGCATAAATATGGGAATTTCTGCGAAATATTTTCAAAGGGTAACCTCGTACAGTTTTAATCCATTTTTATTATATCTTGGTTCGCAAGAAAACTACACTGAGATACATAGAATGTCTTTGTCGCAATTTGATTTTGATGAATAATGTTGCCATGGATATTAAAATCAAAATTTCTGTAAAATTCTTTTAAAAAGCTACTCCTCCTACAGTTTTATGTCTGATTGCAATAAGTTTTGCCACACAAAACAGACTAAACCAAGCCGGGAACCGTATCCTAGTCATTGCTGCATTTACAGCACGCTGCATTTTCAGCACTAAGCGGTAGAGATTCCTTTTACAGTGTACGTCATGTTTGTGATGACAACCGTTTTTTTTCCGCTCTGCACTCTTCATTTTTCCAAAAGAATTTTTGCGGAGAATTTCCCGTAAAAGTTTCAATTGTGAAAAGGTTTAGGCATATAATGTGATACAATATATTTATGTATATTGTTCCTCCGCAAAATGCAAGACTTAAGATCAGCTTCACATATCGTGCATTTACTTTTATTCCACCCGAACAACTTTTCAAATACACCTGAACGCCCAAACTTAGATTTTGGCGGCATTTTGCCGACCCCAAATAGACACGCCAATAATTTCCTTAGAACAATCAACTGAGAATTGTTAAGTATTCACTTAAAATAATTTTTAGTTGTTATTCGGTATGATTGAACGATCGTCGAGTACTACCGCGCGGCGAACTGGTTAGAACACGAAGTTACGTAGCGGGGTGGGGGGGGATATACGTAGAGAAAATTCCTTCGGATGAGATCGTGTCGCAGTAGCTGCCGAAAATGATTCCTTAACGAGGTAAATTATTGACAAACAAGTTGATGAAACAAGAATTTCAGCAGTCTCGTTTAAAGACATATCATTTCGTAAGTTCTATGGTCGATACAATGATATATTCAGAAAATACAGTTTTTCATTGTGTCAAATGCTGACTGACGAATTTTCAAACTAATTGCAAGTCCATTATTTATACACTGAATTGACGACGGATTTTTCCGTTATTTCCCGATCATGACAAGGAGCACACAGCGGGTGTGACCGGTCAGCAGGGGATGCTCACTCCCCCCATGGCACCTGATCCTACCTCTGATGTTTTGGAGGTCCGAGTTTGCTCTGCTCCTATTTTGCATTGTTTTATGGACTTTTGAGCTTGAATACTGTTGAACAGTTCCTTATCTCCATATGTTTCACACTTACTGCCCAACGCCCCCGAGTGCCGAGCATAGGTCAAAATTTAAAGCCCTCCACTGGAAAGTAGTGTTGTCTCCATATGAGTGAAAAATTCTCGAGAGGGACGTTAAAATTTCTGAAATCTTTGGTTGAGTTACCTCTTCTAACAGATGTGAAGGTGTCCATCCGAGGTCCTGCGTGTTTGAGTGCTCATTTAAGATTTCATTAATTTGTGTGAATACACTTATACACAAATTGTTGCTATAAGAGCTAGCGCACGTCTTATATTTTCAATATTAATATAATGCAACCTTCGTCAATGTAATGCATTTTCAACATTGTTCAAGTTACGACCCCAACGATGGGAAAGAGCAAACATTAAGGCCTTAAGGTAAACATTGCCAATAAATGCACTTTTCATCTACAAGATGTAGAAACAATGCAATGATTGTGTTTTAATCAAATATGTTTTGAGTAAACTGTTTTATACCTCTTTACACATGAAATAAAGAATTTTGTATATTAATGCGATTATACACTTAGATGCAGCACCCGTTCACATGTTTAGTACATTTTGGCCGTGGTTTGCGACGATGCAACTTGGAATTAAGATAAAAGCTAAAACGAAATGCACGATATTATTTACACTACATGTGTTACAATGACCTTTGTACATGAAAAAATATACAGCAGCTAAATTAGGACAATATCCGGGTTAAGTCCTCGTTGTTTAGTATTTGTAAAGTTTTTGAAGCAAAGAAAGTCATTTAAACTTTAGTTCTCCAAATCCTCGACCATCATTCCCCTGACGTCCACAGTAAAATGTTCTAATGAGTTGTCTCTTCACTTTCCTGAATGCCAGCATGCTCTAAAACAAATGAATAGATAATGTAGACCCTGCTGGAAGAGTCAACTTATTACAGGTCTGTATAATTTTTTAATCGTTATTCTTCATTGAAAAGGAAATGACTCAGTGTAAAGATGACAATTAACAAACCTTTACTCATTTCCTGTGAATTCATGCTGACATACGCACTATCCGATACTTGGCAGACAAATGGTTCGCTGTTTTTCCCTATGAAATTCGTATAATTACATATATATATATATATATATATATATATATATATATATATATATATATATATATATATATATATATATATATATATATATTATATTTTTTACATTTAATTTTGTAATTTTATTTTCACAGGAAATTAATTTACACGAAAACTTAAATCCTTACGCCCTCTGCTGCCGGTATCCCTAAGTATGTTGGAACCATCTTCTAAAACGAAAAGTTTTTAATGAATTTCAATTTTTGCAAGATATAGGAAATAAAGAAAACAGATTAAAAATAATAAATTTGGAAACCATGTTTCCTTCTTTTCCCCCAAAATAACACCAGATGATTTATTGTTCAAAGGAAGGATAAGTTGAAACTACCATGAATATGTGCGCATGCGTACTCCTCTGTAAGCCCGTGTTCATTGCAGAATTTCTCAGTTTTCTTCAGTTCTTTAATTAGTCTTTCTGATTCCTTTGTATATTTTTCTGCACAGGATTTACATAATCTAAATTCTTGTTTATCTACAGCATTCTGTATCCTAGCATTTGTTTCTCGTAGTTCTTCCTTTAGTTTTAGAATTTCAACATGCTTTTGTTGTAATTCATACGTCATTCTCGACCTATGAAATATATTTATAAATTCCTTAAAGCAATTACATTTATTTAGTTAAAATTGCAATTTTTACAAACATTTTTGAATGTTCAATTTAAAAACTAATTACAATGTATTCTATAACCATATCTCTCATAAAAGACCATCCATTTATTTTATTGAAAAAAGGATGTTTGTGAAACACTGATGCGCCCCCCCCCCCCACTAAAACTAATAATTTGTTATAACAAATTACTAATTTGTTTTTAAAAGAATACGAATTTATTATAACAAATTATTAATTTGTTTTAACAAATTACTAAGTTATAACAAATTATTAATATGTTATAATAAATTGATAATTTTTTAAAGCAAATTAATAAAAGATACTCCTGCGGCCCTAATACGCTTCCGTAGATTTTAGACTAAAACAGACAATGATATAAATTTTTATTACAATTCAATTTAATTATCATTTCTCATCAGATAATTGATAAATTATGGTTATATAAAAAGAGTTTACATTAAATACTCCCCAATTGTGAGTGTGTAAAATATGAAAGTGAACCGTCATGATTTTCCGGATAGTAATGATGTGGTAAATGTGCATGGCGAATAAAAAAAATTAAAAGTTTTTCAACTACATGTACCAGTAAAAATTGTTCTACATTTGCTCTACATCTGCAAACGACACAAAGATATTTTTTACATTTTGCACCGCGGATTGCAGCATAAAGCCTCTCTGCATGCAGAAACATGTCATGAGACCAAGATCCAGGGTATCAGCAGACAGCACGTGGTTCATTTCGACAGGCCTACATCTTCGTTTTGATGACAATAAATTCTTGTCATTCATCAACGGACTTTTTTTTTATATCGATGAATCTATTTATGAGCAAATGCGATAAAAATGTCAATTTATTCAATTCTTTGAATTATTTGTTTGCTTTGAAAACAGTCTAAAATAAAAATGATTCAACTTTTTCACCTTTGAATATCTTGACGTGCTTTCCTTGCATGTGAAAGGGTTTTTTTTAGTGCTAAATTTTGTTTGCGGCCGATTTGATGCTTTGCATCAATTTTACTTGGTAACCTTGAAACAACATTGAAAAAAAAATCAAAACCAATGAACTTTGTTGTGTATCTTAGTGTACTCTACTTGTGTGTCAAGTTATATTGAAATCAGACCAAAACTGTAGGAGGAGCGTTTAAAGGAATTTCACAGCAATTTCTGTTTTAAGTAACCATGGTTACACCTTCAACAAAATCAAAAACCAATGTACTTTGTTGTGTTTCTTAGTATTGTCTGCAACGTCAAGATCTCTAGACAGTAATATGTTAAACCATTGACTGCTTAATACCGGTATTGCATGCCTTTGACCTAAAGGCATGACATTGACTTACGCCGTAAATCTTGCGGTCATTATTATTATGAAGGTCAGAAGATGTCGGGGCTGATACGCCTTTACGAATATATATGTATTGTCAAAACATTGTACAATCTCATATGACTTTCAATCAGGACAGTGCGTCTTCGTTTAAAGAAGTTAGATAGGTGGTCTTAACCCCCCCTCCCCCTCCCCAACAATACAAATCTGTGAACAGAGCATAAAAGACGGTCCCCCGGAAATTCCAGAGGTGGGATCAGGTGCCTAGGAAAAGTAAGCATCCCCTGTTGATGGGCCACATCTGTTATGTGAATGTTCAAATAATCTCATTGATTAGTAATTATGTTCATTGTTTACAAATTGTCTTACCTTTGAAGCTGGCAAGTAACGTCGAAGAAGGAAAACATTATATATCACATGAGGTATTACAATTGCGTAGTATACATACATCTATTTTTATATACTAGTATACCCGAGTCTTCGACAGAAATGGGAAGTAGTTTTCTGATACGTGTAACAGTAAACGAGAGACATATTGATTTTTGAGGGCTACACGTGTAAACAAAATCGAAATACATCTTTGTTATAATCCTTTCTTGATAAATGAAGCAGGTAAACTTTGTAACTGTTAACAGGAAATTTAGCTATCAAGTGTACAGACCCAAAATTTATTTTAAACAATTGTAATAGAGGCCAGTTAAAGGTGATTGAAACCAAGGTTGCTTCTGCATTACTATATGAAATAAAATGTTAATTTATGTCAAAAGTTATAGATGTTTTAAAAATAAAAATGCTCTTTTAAAACATCTTTGTGGCTTATCAATTTCTGCATTGAAACCAATAGGGATTACCTGAATTTTACGGAAAAGGCAAATATTGGAAATTATTTCATGGAAGAAGATGGTATGAATTCAAAATTAGTTTGATAACATTGTATTTATGTACAGAAAAGTATACACTGTATCATCTTGCTATTTTAAGGATAAAGGACAAACAACTCTTTAGAGTATATACATTTATGAGTATGAATCAGGAAATGTGATACTCAGTATATTTCTTTACAAGAATTCCACTGCTCTGAAAAATTCAAGTAAATGTAAAATTCAAATTAAAAAAAAATCATTTGTTTATTTTTACATCGGATCATCCTTCATCATTTCAAACATAACTAAGTGGCATCAACGAGTTACTGCTCTTTGCGCCTTGTTTCAATTAGTTCAGCATTCGTACGAGGGCTGTTCAATAAATAATGTCATGAGCTCGATAACACACAACATACAAATCATATGACATTAAGCTTGACTTTCTCTCGTTTTTGAATCTTTAATGAATTGGTAACAGTTTATGTGACCCCTTTTCATCGCACTATTTCATTGTGGGAAGCTGGAAAACAAGGGTTATTCGAGAAAGTGCATTAAAAATGAATGGTAAAGAATCAGTAATCTAGAGTGAAGTTAAACGCTTTATTAAAGCTGCTGTAAAACTTGTCAAGAATGTTAATCCTAAAGAAATATTAACTGAAATATGTGAAAATTAAAGCAACATATGTCTGTTTTATACACACATGAGCAGGTGGATTTTAACGAACAAAAATAATATAATGGGCATCAAAAAATGGGTACCGTCCTCTGTGACAAGGACTTACAACAATCAATGTACTG